GGCGTTGTGGCGGGCGCCTGTGGTCCCAGCTACTTGGGAGGCTGAGGCAGGAGACTCGCTTGAGCGCAGGAGTTGGAGGTTGCTGTGAGCTGAGATGCCACAGCACTCTACCCGGGGAACAGCTTGAGGCTCTGTCTCAAAAAAAAAAAAAGAATTAGGCATCAGTTTCCACTATTTGTTGTGTTATTTAATATTAAGTAATTCTATATTTAATCGAGTAAAACCTTCTGCACTAAGTTTTAGGTACAAGATATAGGCTTGCCTTTATTTATTTCAAATTCTCTACCATTAAGGAAATTCAAGGAAAGGCTATTGCTATGTGAAACTCTTCAGAAAAATTTTACAGAGCAATTTTGCAAATCAATGAGTAACCCCCACAGTTTTTTTTCTGTCTCCGTTCTTCAAGGCATATGACAAGAAGCTAAATAAAATCTTCATTCTTTACCCAAGATAAATACGAATATATTGAGCAAGTTCGTATTTATAAAACTACTATATTGTTACTGTTATAAGGAAATGTTTTCACTTTTTCTGATTAAATTTACCCGTTGTTAAAAGGCAAATGTTTTATTTCTATTTCTTATTTGATCTATCATTTTTGCCTTACAGAGTATCTCAGGTTTTTGATTATAACCTGGTGATATTATAACCTAGAAGTAGTTTGGTTAAGAAGTCATCTTTAGTATTTAAGACAACTCTTCATCTTTGGCAAACTTGGGTGTGCCTTCACCAATGACATAATCAGGAAAATACTAAAAGGAAGAGTTTAGATGCAGGATAATAGAAGAGTGCCCAGACATATCCTAGAGCAGTGTTAGCATGTTGATTACACAACTTGGATTGCAAACACAGAAACGCCCTTCCCAAACGCACTTAATCAATTGTGACTTTTACAGGCGTGGCTAGTTCCATTTGGGTGGGTTCTTAAGCCTGTTTACTCCCAGATTTACCCTTATTTTAGCTTTTATTATATTAACAAAAGATTAGCAAATTCTTGAACTTTAGCCTGCAGATGACTAGATAAGTATTAAGTAAGGATTGCTGTATAATCCTTTAATTGTAATAACTGAAAAACAAAAATCTAAATTGTAAGGAACTACAGAAAAGACTTGTATCTACTCATCTCAAATATTGGAGGTTGTTCAGAGGAAGAGTCCTGGCTTGATTAAAGAATACAGAAACATGTAGATACAGCTTGGAAGGCAAGGAAGTATAGTATAGGCTTAATTCTTTTTTAAGAAAAGTCATTTATATTTTTCCTCTAAAACCATACCTAGTCTTCCTGAGTTATCAAGGATATTTTTCTATTTCTATGCCCAGGACACATGCCCTGACAAACAGGTATCTTTGTTTTAGAAAGAGAAAGGATTATAGAGCACTGAGAAGGAAGAACATAGGTCCTGAAAGCATCATGACTTTGTCTCTTACCTTTCTCTTTTGGCAGTACCGAGATGTACTTAGTATCTGGCGACTCATGAATTTTGGCATTAATTTTTTTAACCATAAATATTAAGATAGGAGATTCTCAACGTTTCTCGCCCAGCACACCTGGAGATACAAGACATTTGATTAGTAACAGTAGCTGGGAACCAGAATATTGAGGAGAGGTGTTTGTTTTGTTTAGGGAGAAAAATAAATGATGTGATAACTACTCCCCTACTTTTCCTCCGAAGACCAAGTTTCCTCCAGTTCTAGAATTCTATTATTCTATCTCTATTCTTCTTTCCATACCTACACACCTGCTTCTCTATAATGATAGGGCCTTATGTTCCGTGAGATAGGAGAGAGAAAGAGAAGAATCTAATATATCAGCTTAGTATAGAACTGTTGTTCCTGCTTTGTAGTATATAGGTGAACAACCAATATTTTTTATTTAGATGGAAAGTAAGATGAGCTCAAAGTAAAAGCTGGGAATTGACTTGCTGCTGGTATTTTGGGGGAAATGTCTTAGAATAAAAAATATGGAATTTCCCTTTTTCAGAATTAAATAAAGTAAGTCCTCTGAAATACACCTTAAAATGTTCAAATGGCATTTATGACTTTAGTTGTGGAAATCAAGTTTCTACCTTATGTCCTTCTTGATTAAAGAATGTATAGTATATGCCAGTATACATCAGAAACTAGAACTTGTTAAGTATTTTTCTTTTTCTCTGGACTGCTTAAAGTCTTAGCTTTAATTAAATGTAATATATATGTTACATTTACATATACATATACATATGTACATATACATATATATATGAACCAAGGGAAATGTTATTTGAATTTTGTCTAAAATAGCAATAATGTGATATGAAAACATCTGATATTTATTGTTGACAAAATTACAGATACTTTATGTAGTTTGTTAAAGATGTCACTTTTTCCTATTGTTGATAGCCCTCCAGCCCCCACTCTAAAATTATTTTCATTTCCCCAGACACATTCAAGGAAGCCAGATATAATCCTCAGCATTTCAGAGACTTAATCTTTGAGGGAGGTGGAGCCCAGAATCTCTTCCATATTTAGCCCTTAATGCTTTTCAAGCCCTTAAAATAAGCAACTGGTTGGTTATTAAATGGTGATTGTCAGTATCTCTTGTATTTGAAACTTGGCTTATTGCCTCTGATTTTATTTTATATTACTGAAAAATAGATATACAAGCCAGTTTGGTCATTTTACCTTGAAGTCAAATCAGAACATATCTGTTAATAGTAATGAATGCTCTATTTATGTCTTGACTTTGAGTTGCTATGGCCATATGTTCCTTTGTCATCAAAGAGAAAATGTAACTCATGTCATAAGCCTTGAATCACTCTTCTGCTTTAAGGGACTAATTGCTTGGTCAAATTTGTGTGCTTAATTTTTTTTTATTTACTTTTTTTTAATGATAAGACATACATAACAAAATTTACCATTTTAGCCGTTTTGAGTATATAATTCAGTGGCATCAATTACATTCACAGTGTTATACACTCATTACCACTATCTGTTTCCACCTCAAATTTTTCATTACCCCAAACAGAATCTCTGTACTCTTTAAGCAATAATACCTCATATTCCTACTCCATACAGTTCCTGGTAATCTATTTTCTGTCTCCATAAATTTGCCTTTTCTCAATATTTTATACAAATAGAATCATATGACATTTGTTCTTTTGTGTCTGTCTTATTTTCTTAGCATAATGTTGTCTCAAGATTCATCCAGGTTCTTGCACTATCAGAATTTGGTTCCTTTTTATAGCTGAAAAATATTCTGCTGTGTGTACATACCACATTTCATCTGTAGGAATACACTTGGGTTGTGTCCACCTTTCAGCTATTGTGAATAATTCTGCTATAAACTTTATAGTACAGGTGCCTGTTGGAGTTCCTGTTTCAGTTCTTTTAGGTATATACCTAGATGTGAAATTACTGGGTCACATGGTAATTCTGTTTTAACTTTTTAAGGAATGTGATCTTTTCTTATAATAGTTCATTCTGTTTTATACTACCCTTTCATTAATGTTTAATTTTTTTTAATTTTTTGCTTATTTCCTTGGTTGACTTTTGTTGCTGATTTTAAGAAATTATTTGTTTTGATCATTCATTTTTTTCTTTTCTTTTCAATTGTTTGTTTTTCAGACCCGAGTCAGAACTCCATCACAGGGGAACACAGCCAGCTGTTAGGTATAGTATTACTATGGGATTAACTTTCTCCAAAGTCACTCTTTATCCATTTATACTAACAGACATTACTCCCTTCTTTAATTCTATTTTCTACCTCTTACATTTCTTTTCACCTCTCAATATTTTTTGTGCTATTTTTATTCCCAACTTGGTAAGTTTTAGGAAACTACTTCTGTAATTGATTGCTAAGACTCAATCTATTTACCTTAGAAAGTAATTTTATGTAGTCTCTGGTTAAAAAAAAATTTAAGAGGCTCGGCGCCTGTGGCTCAAGTGGCTAAGGTGCCAGCCACATACACCTAAGGGGGCAGGTTCGAATCCCCAGCCTGGGCCCGCCAAACAACAATGATGGCTGCAACCAAAAAAATGGCCGGGCGTTGTGGCGGGCG